ATAGATAGACAGATAGATAGAGAGGTTAATAATAATAATAATAATAATAATAATAATAATAATAATAATGATAAAAATAATAATAGAAATACGAAAAAAATCATCCAGTGAGCCCTTCCGCCTTCCCCCATCGCCCCGCTCCCCCCTGCCTGCCTCCTCAGCCTCTGCAACGAGTGCAACAAATGAAACCCGAGAAGCAGCGTGGTAATGCCAGTGTCGCTTCCATTGTATTAGACAGCATATTCAAGCATTCCAGATGTAAATCTCTCTCCCCGGAACTGGTTTTCCGATGTTATCACGCGGAGCCTGTGTGAGACAAGGTCACTTATTTAATATCAATGTTCACTTCTGGCGTGGGCCAAGTCTCATCCCCCTCTCTCTCTCTCTCTCTCTCTCTCTCTCTCCCTCCCTCCCTCTCCCTCTCTCTCTCTCTCTCTCTCTCTCTCTCCCTCTCTCTCTCTCTCTCTCTCCCTCTCTCTCTCTCTCTCCCTCTCTCTCTCTCTCTCCCTCTCTCTCTCTCTCTCTCTCTCTCTCTCTCTCCCTCTCTCTCTCTCCCTTCCTCCCTCTAACTGGAAACATAGTCATGCCAAGAATTCGTTCGGCGTAACGTGAGCCGTCTAACGCAAGTCGTCATGAGGACCGAGTGAGGCCGTTTCGGAATTTTCTTGCGATATCTTTTTTCGCGCCCTCTTCTAATCTGCATAGCTGGGTGACAGAAAACGGGTCAGAGAGATGTCAAGAAACAGAGAGGGCAGTGAAAGGGAAGAGGGCGGAATAGTAAGAGGACTTAAGCAGAAAGACGGTGATAAAAGCGCTAACTGGGGGCGAACTCGATGCCAAAAGCCCGAGCGACCGACTGCGCAGCGCACCCACACTGATATTCACGAAGCGACTGGATATGGGCGGCGAAGACACAGAAGGTGTGAATGAAAACCATAATCATCAAAGAACAAGAAATGTGACTGACGCCTCTCCTGCTCTGTTAGATCATCCGTTCTCATTCAAACTATTTCTACATTTATCTCTGGTCAGGGATGGCGACATTATTTCAACGCCGTTTTCTTTTTTTCTTGGGCATGTCATCGCGTCTTCATTCGGATAATCTTTTATTCGTAATTCCCTTTATCCACTGCCATGTTACTCAAATAATAACTACCTTTACGAAAAAGGTGCTAATATAAAAATCACAAAAACGCGCTAAACCGAATCAGCTCGAGTTCCTTCGTCTATTCGTTTTACTTTTTAAATTATATCATAACGTTTACTTACAAAAAAAAAATCAATCCCTTCTTTTCTTAACCCATTAATATGAATAATACCCTAAAAGTTCAACGCATAAACCCAAGGTCCCGGCGACAAAGGCCCACGAGAAAGAGAAGAAAGAAAAGGAATACCGAAGTCGCCCCAAAAGGAGAACGGATTTTAAAACGTGTTTGTGTTCCCCCGTAACGAAAATTTGCGTCCACGGTCGTTAGAGAGCGCCGCGAAAAGGTCGTAATAGTCGTTGTTTGTGTGACGTGGAGTGCTGTGTACACTGGACCCTACCCCAACACCCCGTCGGATCCCTGTGTTGGCTACCGATGCGCTGCGTCTCTCGATTTTCCTTCCCACGCCGCGCCCTCCAATCGTAAATGCGGTGGACGGTTTACACGAAAAACACAACACCTAGGAAACGTCATGTTTATGTCCCTTGCGAACCAATCGCCAGGCCCCTTGTTTACCTGAAATCGTTGCTGCCTCAACAACAAACCTTGAGGTAAGTCGTATTGAATGACGTTAATATATTCGTTTTAATTTGCGTTGACTGCACAGCGCCGGGCAGAGACATGCAACCCGCAATTAAAGATAATGATATCCAAACTCCCTCTTTTATTCTGATATGTTGCGGTTACTCTCGCCATTTATTGAATGTCTAATCGAGCAAGTCCTTAACCCAAACACACTTGCTGACGATAATGCGCGGAGTGTGAAAAGAAATGGAAGGTTCGCGAAGGCTTTCTTTTTTGTGTCCCTTGCTTGGCCATTGCAGTCAGGTTACCTTAATGTGCTAAAAGTGTATAGGACATCGAGGACAGACACTCGATGACAGGTGTTCGCTTGCCAAGGCTTCGTCGACTACGAGGATCGCCTTACAGCTCGGACCCAGGATCTTCGTTTTGTTTTATTTCTTCTTCTTCGTCTTCTTCTTCTTCTTCTTCTACTCGCTCTCCGATGGCTGTCGCAGGGCCGATCCCGCACGCAGGCGAAATAACGAGTGCGCGTCCTTAGCCAACGCCAGGGAGATCATGTACCTATCTAGACAAACGCAGTGTTTTGTCAGCAAACATTTTGACAGCGGAGTTCTGCTCGCGTAACGCACGGTGCCTGCGAACATTCCGGGGAAAGTACAGTGCTGTCTGCAAACGCACTAACTAAACGAATTTCCCGTCCACAAACATTTCGAAGCTTAATTAGTGTTTTGTCCGCGTTTCTTCTGCCGCTAGACTAATTTTAAACAAAA